TTCTCAAAGGGCACAGTATGATCACAATGAGTTTGACCAAACGCCTCCTCCTGTCTAACGTTTTTGAAAATTTTAAAACTGTTTGTTTCTTGTGGATTTTGCGCAAAGCTACACGAGGGCTAACTGAGCTAACCGTCCCTAATTTAGCATTGTAAGACTAGAGGGAAGGCAGCTAGTCATTACCACCCACCGCCAACTCTTGGGCTACTCTTTTACCAACGAATAGTGGATTGATCGTCACATTATAACGCCCCCACGGCTGAAAGGGCGAGCATGCTAGGTGTGATGGGGATTCGAACCAGCGACCCTCAGATTGCGAGTCGAGATCCCTAACCACCTGGCCATGCCGAGCCATTTTATTGTGTTGTCTCGAAAACTAATTTTTCTAATTAAGTATTTCCTGCATGCTTGTTTGTATTCGTGTAGAATTGTATGTTGTTGTTTTTTTGTTGTTGTTGTTTTCAGAGAATCCTCTTTAACTTTTCAGAGATTGTGTATTAGTATATCGTATAGGTGTTAAATATGAGTACTAATAAATATGTTTATTCATTATTATCAAAGATGATATTAAGATAAAGTATTCATTTTAACCAAAACTGTTTAAGACGTGTTTTTAAATTCCAGTTCGACTTTCGTGAAAATTGGCACTGTTGAAGGTTTCAGTCGATTTGAAACTTTATACAAACATTTATATACAAACTTTATTGAAGGTTACTATAATCATTATCAATAAAACGCCAAGTATAATAAGCTGTGATATCTTGGTCATATTTTAGATCCATTTCTGTTAATTGTCAGGATAGGTAATTAATTTTCGACTTGTGGTTCTCTGTGGCTTCAAGAACCGAAAATGTTGGCAAGTTGTTAACTCTAATTAGCTAGGCGTTTCGTGTTTATACGGTTATACCTTCCTTCTGACACGTCCGTGAATACAACTATCATAAATACTTCTAGTGAACAGTTGTTTTATTTTTTAGCAATAACAATGACTCACCCAGTATGAACACAATCACTCTTTGTTTCTCAGAAAAAGAGTCTGTTGTTTTGTCAGAAATAAGCTGAAGGTTTGCCGTTAGCTCGGATAGTTCATGGCAAAAGCTATGGTTTATAATGAAGTTAGGTCACCCCCTCTGGTGACTGATATGCAGCATAATAATGTTCTTTACCAATCTGCTAAAGAAAACAGAGAAATTGTTTCCTGTCAGGAAAGCGTTTGTTGTAAACAAAGCTTTGCGAGTTAAGAGTGGCCATGTATTCCGCTAATCTTTCGGGATCGTTTTTATTGTGCCTTTTGTAATATTCTTGTTTCAGTTTAATGAATTGATGTGTGTGTGGGCTAAACATCATTATCGGCATGTTAAAAGATGAACATTACTTAGTAATTGTGAACACCGTCTCCAAAACTTGCTATTAATGTCCACTGAAGTCTGTATTTCTTTCAAGAGTGAATTCATTACTTTATGTAGCAATACTAAGCGTTTGTATCTTTTTCCAAATATAATATTTTGGAACATATTTAATATTTATGCAGTGGTAATTAAATCACACATCGCTACTGATTTAAAGCTAGTTTTACAGACGTACCTGGTTAGAAATTTGTGGTACATCTGGTGTTTACATTTCGGAAACTATTTTAATAAATTATTAAAAATGAATTTTTTTTTAAATCTAAATTTGGAAACAAATATTTTTGATAGACGACTATAAATAAAATATATTTTTTTAAACTTCAGTGTAATGTTTCAAGATCTTCACGAGAACACATTCCTAGTCAACAAACCTGTTGATTATATAGTTACATATTTAAACTAGGAGTGTTGAAAACTTTGATTAGCAAGTGGTTAAATTAGATCATTGATTGGTTAAGTTCAAGGTAGTAGTTACGTAAAGTCTCCGTCTCAGGATGGACAAGCTTGAACCAGTAGTTAATACTTATGCTTACAGGAGGTAAAAAAATTTTAGAATTTTCGAGCAGAACTACACAATGGTGGTCTTTCTGCGCATAGCCATTCCTAATTTTGGACTAAAACTGAGAGACTTGATAGAGGCAAGGCAGCTAATCAATGGTATCCACCACCGACGCTTGGGATACTCTTGTCTGAACAAATAGTCAGATTTGACGTCACTCTTATAAACGGCTTCAAAATGTGATCTGTTTTTGCAGCAATGGGCCATGAACTATGAACTTTCAGATTCACAGTCTGAGTACGCTGGCCATGCACGGCCAGGTGGTTAAAAAACTTACGTCAACGGTTCGTTTCACTGTCCAGTATTAAGTATAATAGCCTAGTGTTGCGTCAGCGAGGTCACATGACTAGTATCACGCCACCCGTTTTCTAGAAATATCCTTTTCCTTCAGGAATGCCCTAGCATTTACTAGATATGTGTTAGTCTGTTATATATAAGATGGTCACAACGTGACGGGACAACAGTGTAATGAATAATTGAATGTATGCGGACAAAATATTGTTGGCCTCGTGAGACGTGAATTATAGTGTTGTTACAGAGCGACTGTTGAAATTAAGTGTATCGTAAAGTTGTATTCGGAAAGAATAAACCAGTTTTATTAAGAAAGGACTTGTGTCGCTTAAGTTTCGTTGGCACGAAGTTACGGAAAATCAACTAACGACTGGAGGCGTAACACTAGGTTTGCTAGGTTAAAACTTAATTAAACTTAATTCCGCAGTTGGTTAAAACTTAGTTTAAAGCTCTTGTCAGTTGTTGACCAAATTTAAATTGTTCCATAGCAGAGCTTCCAAAAATACACTGATAAAATTTCAGTAGTTAGCTTGTTACCTCAAAATAATCATGATAGCAATTCAACGAGAGAGAGAGATAGAAAAAATATTTCAACTGCTTTTTTCTCCTCATCTATTGCTAGTCAATATTATGGTGTTTTTAGTAATTTTGGAACCATCGATTTTAGTGTATGATTTACCAAAAAAACCATCGTTTGAAGTTATTTTTAAATCGTGACAAAACGTTGAACAAAATAAACTAGAGGAAGGCGTTTCGAATTTTCTTTGGAAAACTGTGTAATATGATGTTCGGAAAATGGCACGAGTCCTAACTGTGAGAAGTTGTTTAACAAACGCGCAAACTGAATAGAAATTCGTGAATAAAGCGGAAACTGTGCGGCTCATCACCACCCCCAGGGTTTTATTCGAGTGCTATATGGTGAGGCAGCATTGTTAACACATTGGCTTAGACCTTTATTAGTTGACGCAAACGCTTTTCAAGGGCCACTTGTGACGCGATCGGTTTTCGAGAGCGTTGTTAGCCTATGAACTCTTGGTTTTGGGCTCGTTGCTAGTTCGACTTGAACGTATTTTATATACGTTTCATTAAATAGTTTAAACACATCAGGTACATCCTATAATAGCAAGTGTTAGTGGTATAAATAGTGTACTTACTTGTAAAAAACAAAAAACATTTTAATTTCCTTCTTATATCTTTCTCTGCATTTGACTTAGTAGCATCAGAGAAAAAAACAAAAACTAACAAAAACCGTTAATTATTTTATAGTTGAATGGGGTTCCTGAGCTAATTAAATAAAGCTACCTTTTCTGCTAAATTGTTCTTCAGGTCCAATTATTGTATTATTTGTCGTTTATTTATTAGACTATACTCCTGTTAAGCAGTTTGGTGCATTTCTTACCTACTTCCGATTTTTTTTTTTTTAATTTTAGCACTTAATTGTATTTTGGTTTATATCCGTCTTTAGTGTATTATGTCGATGTAAATTAATTAAATCATATTTTTCATAACCCCACTTCTGAAAGCGTACACATGAAAAAAAAACGGCGAAGTTTTTATTTTAGAGATGTTATCCAGCATTATTCATTATATATAATATTTTGTGAAACGGGGGTGATTTAAGTCCATCAAATTTAAAGAAACGGGTGCTATGTTTTTGTTTATTCTCAAGGATTATTGATAGGAAATGACGTCATTTTGACATTTTTTGAAAAGCGTATACGAGGTCTTTTGCCCTTCCCCCAACGTGTTTTGTACGCTCGTGAAAATTACAGTAATTTGTTTTTACTAAACACCTACACACATTCTTCATATACAATCTCAGTAATTGTAAGTATATTGTTATAGTTATAACACTAGTACATAGTGATGAAGCTCATAAATTTAATTTCAGTTATGTTCTGATTAGTTTATTCGTTCTGTGTAAGGGTTTGACTACTTTCTTTCCAAGTGATTTTACTTGATAGCAGCATGAAGGATTCATATTTATTTAATTAGTATTTATCATATTAAACTTGATTAAACATTCAAACAGAACCCAGAAATTAACACAACATTAGGTGATTTTGTACGTAATATATATCCGATATGACAATAGTGTCTGTCTTAGTTGTTTTCTTCTTGTGAACATAGTATAACAGAAATACTGCAGATGGCGCTCATATCCCCCTGTTTTCATTTTCTTGATTACGCGAGATTATTGGTGACGGAATCCCTAATAGTTGCATCAGAATCTCACATAATTATTTCTGATACGAGAAGGATGCCTATAATCACATTTTCAATGTTTGAATGTATTTAGGTAGTATTTCTCTGCCACTGTAAAACGAAAAAATTAAACGTCATTAAACTCTTGTCATGATTTTCGAATTGTTTTGGTATGTTTTCTGAGACGTTTTTATCTTATTTTAAAAATTCTACCAATTTTAAGGAGCAGCAGTTGGACTTAAAGGCCACCACCAGCAACAACTGTTTAACACATGGAAAAGAAATAAGTGAATATTTCAGGTCACATGTTGATATTGCGATTTGACACTTTGGGGCAGTCTCAACTAAGTTTTGTATCATGTTTGTCACCTGGATATCTACTCGTCTCTCCCCATCTACACTTACAGCAGTGTTAAAAAAAATTAATAATACTTACTACAAACAGTTGTGAAAACATCGACATTTTACGTATTAAGGAGTTAGTGTTAGTTTACAATTTCGACTATTTTAAATATAACGATATATTATTTTCTTAGATTATCTACCAGTGAAGAAAGCAATGAGAGGAATGAAAGTGAGAAATCCACATCAAACGAGTGCTCACAGCTCTGTTGAGTAAATGGGACGTTTTCTGAAGCAAACTAAGAGAGGTAAGTGTCTAGTACTATTTTCTTATTCTCTACCTACTTCTTCCAAGATTTACGTACTAAACACATGTAATGATGAAATTGTCTATTTACGTCAATCAAGATAGTCCGCAATGACAAGCATATGTAGCTTTTATATATATATTGATGTTTCATATAGACACGTTCCTTTGGCTTTGGTTTTGTTAGATAATTGGCAGGAACATCTTTGTTCTTGGAAAGAAATTGATTAATAATATACTTATTAAAAACTTCCAGCAATGCAGATGAAAACTTATCCACCCCCAGTTTTGTCTTGTCCTTGAGTTAGCCATGTGTGATGTTTGTATAATTCAAGTGACTTTGGGTGCCCCTGGATACACTTTACTAGTGATGTGTAAAAAAAAAAAAATTTTTCTTTCAGTTCTTGTAACTAGTATTTTTCAATTCTCCTGGTCCTGGTCGCGTAACGTATATATTATTGTATATAATACGCTATTCGATCTTGTCAAAAAGGTCTTTGTTTCGGATCTTGAGTTTGAGCCATTCAGTAGGAATACCAATGACTGGCCGTGTGATTAAAAAGTGTGTCGAGTTTTCTTGCACAGCACAGTCACTGACCTTTTATCACTGAAAAAAAGTGGGAAATCTCTCAACTTCAGATTTTACAATCAAACATGGAAAAATCAAATCTTAAATTTTTATAACGATGATTTTAATTACGTGTTAAAATTGTTTCAGGAAAAGTAACATTTTTGGAAATTCTACATTCATTAATGACGAATCGTTAAATATGCATTATTTTATTAATAATATTAATTACAGTTTTCTCAGCCGCTCATTTTCGTTTTACCGAGAACTGTCTCTATATGTTTTTCCTCAAAAAATCTATTAATGAATTTTACAGGAAAAAGTAACAAGTCATCTTATAAGGTTTCTGCAGGAATTTCCTGGAACATTTTTAATATACAGTGTATAAAAGACGGAGATATCTGTTTGTAAGTTTTTCATTTGCCGAAATTAAGACGTAAACCCTCAAATCTTGGCAGTTAGCGCTATGATAGTGTCAGAAGAAACGTTTACTCGTTACTATAGTTACGAGATTTAGAGAAGCCATGTGAGGCGTCGTCACATTCTTTGAAAAGTAGAACAGACCGTCGCCAGTACTGTTCTGTATATCAGCTTGACTTGAGACCAGATAGAGCCACTATTAACCGTTTTATAAAGAGCCAATAAGACAAACGCATTTAAACCGTATTATAATTCATTTGATACGACTTTACTTGTTGCTATGGGTACGGAAGACAGGAAAGGACTATATGCTTCTTTTGTTATATTTAGATTTGCTCAGAAAACAGTATGCTTTAAGAAATTATGATTTTCTGGCCGTTGCCTCCCCTCTGTTGTTAACTGTTCCATACATTTTGAAGAGTGTTATTAGTTGTGACATTTTAAGTATTTCTGACGGTTAAAATGTGAATAGAAGGAAGTGGAAGTAAATGTCTTGTAGTTATTTGTATTGTCATCAAACAAGGTGGCAGGTTTATTGTATTATATACAGACACGTAGAAGACAGCTGGATACACGTGTCCTTACAAGTGTTCTTTTACAATGGAACAAAGGGGAAAATAACTACAGCTAAGAACATTCTAATCTACTTCTGGCTTATTATCTCTACCTATCCTTCAAACTAGCGTGATTAGATGACAGGTAATACAAAAATAAATTTGTCGAGACCTTGGTGTAAATTAATTTTAAGTTCCTGACTTTTCGGTTAACCTACCAACACATAAACACCAATTAAAGGACTGTTAACGTCCAGAAAAAAAAATCTTGCATCTCTTTCTTTCCTGTGAAAGTTATCTTTATATCTTAATAAAGACATCGATTATGTACAAACTTTTCACCTCCTCCTTTCCATTCGGGGTTATCTATGAATTTTAACGAAGATATTGTGAACTTTACAATCTGATTTATCTGTGCATTTTTACAAATGTTCTAATATGTCACTTAGGGGGCAAATTTTCTACATTTTCTTTTCCAGCCCCCCATACCCCCGGTGGCTCAGCGATAAGTTTGAGGGCTTATAATGCTAAAAATCGGGTTTCGATACTCGCGGTGGGCCCAGCACATATGGCACATTGAGTAGCTTTGTACTTTTAAAAACAAACAAACAAACAATACCTTTCCACACAGGGCACCCGTATTCTACCACTTTTAAGTGCTGGATGTATTTTGTGCAGTGTTTCTATGAAATAGTGTATATAGTACTACAAGTAAGGCTATTTTATTAATTATTTTCAGTCTTATCTTTTGTTCTAGAGTTTGTATTTTTTTCTAGCTGTTCCTCAAGTGTGTTCGGTGAGACCATGTTATAAAATCCTCTTTTTTTCATACTTACTTTTTGTAATTCTTCTCCTGTCCTGAACATATTGCTAGGAAGTCAGTTGTAGAAGGTTAGGTGAACGTTGAGGCCGTTGATGTGGAGAAATATTGTTAATACCATAATGATAATAAAAAACCCTTCCCTCTGTGTTTATTACTTTCTATTACAGTTTCTATAACAGTTTGAATAATACTTGCTATATATGTTTTTAGATTTTATTTAAAAAATAACAACTGGACTTCAATTTAATAAAATAATTTAAATTAAACAAAGGTGGATGTTTTTGTTGAGCTAAACACTCAGGTCTACAAACATACTCCAATACGGCTCTGTATAGTACGGCTCTGAATTTAGGGTTCAAATCCGTGCGAAAGTACACAGTATTCTCCGCACTTTAAGCTATGATTGTGTTGTGGAAGTGACAGTCATTCCCTTGGCTTGGATGGTGGGAGGTAGGGTGTTGCTGACTGGCTGTCTTCCTTCTGGTCAGTAGTAATTCAAAACAAATACGGTAACAAATAACCCTAATAGTTTTTTCATAAATACATATACAATATACTCTAACGCTTAACCCAACCTACTTATTATAGAAATTACTTTTGGTACACAACTATTTATAACCTGTACACTGTATAAATTTACAAACTTTTTTCCTTAAATATTCTGATCTCAAAATGTGTACTTAAAATAATTAGTGTGAGATTGCTGAATAATTATAACCATTTTGTTTTGAATTTTCACAATTCCTTCAGTGAATACTTATAAATTTACACAGTTTCTCGTTTAGGTTAACATATAATGATAACAAGTGTAGAAACGTTATTCCGATTAATGTATGTGAGCTTCTGTTGTACGTTCGGTTGATTTTGTTATAATTTCGTACCAAACTATTTTCAAGCGCGTCCCTATACAATAAATAGCTACGACTCAGTGAGTGCTGCGTCACAGTCACATCTGTTTCTCGTTCGGATTGATACATAATTTAGCAGACTAACACACTAATAAGTTTAACATAACAGCAAATGTACAACGTTTCGACAAGGTTTTGTCGTCATCAGGTACATGTTAAACTTATATTAAAGTTTTTCTTCATTATCCATTCAAGCCGTCTCCAGCCATTATTAGTCTCAAAGTGGGTTCCTCGTCATCGAATTTAACACACTAATGATTCAAAATTGTTTTTGTAGGTAATTTCAAATATTTCATAAATTGTCGAGAAACGGTAACTTTCAGGGAATATACTTTTAGCACTTGAGAGTAGTTAACTGATGAGTAATACACATGAACACGTATATGATTTCTAGTTTCAATAAATAATTATATAAAATTTTATACGTAATAACCTTTACGTGAAGAAAGATAACAATATGCGGTAAAGCACGCGTTGGTTTTCAAACCCCTCAATTTCTGAACTAAGCCAGAATTCAAAAATTTTCTCAACATATAAAACGAAAAATGTTTATTTCAAAGAAAAGCAAAGACGGTATTGCGGTAACCAGAACTCAAATTTGTTCTTGTTTCTTTTAATGACAAGTGAACTAATTATACACGAGCACCAACAAACAATATAATTAAGAGATGACACACGCAATTCAAGAACACAGGATCTGTGCAATCAGCAGGTGTAAAGCATTTCACGAACAGGAACTATATGTGTATCAATAGGAGTACAGGCAGTTCTGTAACAGGATCTGTGTGTGTCACAATAGGAGTACAGGCAGTTCTGTAACAGGATCTCTGTGTGTCACAATAGGAGTACAGGCAGTTCTGTAACAGGATCTCTGTGTGTCACAATAGGAGTACAGGCAGTTCTGTAACAGGATCTGTGTGTGTCACAATAGGAGTACAGGTAGTTCTGTAACAGGATCTGTGTGTGTCACAATAGGAGTACAAGCAGTTCGAGGACAGGAGACAGGATCTGTGTACCCTAAGAGGAGTACTGTAAGACCTACCGATAAGAAGACACTGTCGCCTCAGTAACTGCGTCATAGGAGTCGCTGAACGTTTCCTTTCCGCAGTTGAAAACTAATAATGTTATTGGCACATGTTTCTTCCAGGTAAACTGGGCACTACCGCATTTCATATTTTGTTTTCAGTAGTCAATGGACAATGTCCTAGCGAGCCGCTGGGTTGGCCGTATCGTACCATCGTCCTGAGTGCTGAGCTCTCTAAACCGAACACTGCTAGACTTTTGGCTGTTGGGCCACATAAAGTCAGCGGGGTTCACATCCTACGAGTTGATCTCAAAGATCATGTCATTTGATGCAATTCCAGAACGTGTATTTGACGGATGGTAAAGACTTCTACAGAAGTGTAATTTTAACAGAGGTCGTGTGAAGGATATATAGATCAACGGCAAATTTGACAGAGGTTATGTGAAGGTTACGTGGACCAACAGGAAATTTACCGTGTATTTTTCCTTTCTTCGTTTAAAAGTTGTTGCAATTTAAAAGATCTGTGCAAACATTTGTAGATACTTTTAATAGTCCAAAGCTTCAATAGTGAGACTTTTTCGAACCTAAAGAAATCGCTAGTGAAAAAATAGTTCTGTAATCTGCTTCTTATGCAGCTGCTTGAAATACCAACTGAATGACTTACTTGGTCAGGAAAAACGACAGAGGAAATATATATGCCTTAC